TCCGCATGCGCCAGGTTTGCCGCATACTCCAGCCGCGCCAGGTGCGTCACGTTCGGGGCACGCGCAGAGTGTGTCAGGTGCGCCTGCGCACGTGACAGCACACATCGGGAAACATGTCGGCCCCCACCACCCTTGTCGAAAACCAGTCCCCATCATTGTGTCTGGTGGGCCTGCGCGCAGCAGGCCATACGCCACCACCCCCGCCGTCCCTGTCAAAAACCATTAGGCCGCGCATGATCCAGATTTAGCCGCGAGGTGCATTTCCCCCTATCAGAGCTTGCCTGTGTTGGGTCCCAGCGGATTCATTTGGTTAGGTGAGGTATGGCGCCGATTTCGGCGGCACGCCCAGGTGCCTGGGTGCGCCCGGGTGCCCGTGTGCCCGGATACCCGGGTCCCCCAGTGCCCGGGTGCCATGGTGCTCGAGTTCCCGGGTGCCCAGGTGCCCGGATGCCCGGTAGCCATATTTCCTTATAGTTTCATAGGTTTAGAACCCTATAGGCCTAATAGCCCTGTAGCCCAATAGCCCTGTAGCCCTATACCTGTATAGCCCTATAGCTCGACAGCCCGATGGCCCTATAGCCCTATACTGCGCCGATCCGACGAAAGTTTCCTGAATTTCGCCACCGTGGTGGCGCGCGCGGGATAAGACTCGCGGGGCCCGAGGGCGGATGGGGGCGATGTCGCGAGGGCAGAGTCGGCGCACCGATGGGCAGCCCAGCACCCCGTCTGGCCGGAGGAGCCCAGTACAATGCAAGGGCAGAGCCTAACCCCGCCCGGGTTCGCGGGATTGGGTTTCGCTTCCCAATTTAAGATTTTAACTCCCAAACGGCATAGGACTTCCTCGAAAAAGGCATTCGGGTTCGGTCATACGACGACCCGAAAAGTTTACCCGCCGACCTGAAAGTGGCCAGATCCCATAGGACTTGTGCCAAGAAAATTTCGGGTCCGGTTCGAACGACCCGAAAATGTGCAAACCGCTTAGGACCCCTTGCAAAAACATCGTTCTCGAGGTCTTCGGGCCCACTCCGAAGAAACCGAACATGGGCAAACCGTTTAGAACCTCCGATCAAAAACGGTTTCTCGGTGGCTCCGGGCCTCGTCCGAAGGAGCCGCCGGTGGGCAGACCGTTCAGGATTTCCTGCGCAAGAAACGGCTTCCCTGGTGAGCCATTGCCAACGGGAGCGCGCCCCGCGCAGGATCGGGGTTCGCACGGGGGCGCGGCTGCCCTCGCCTGTCCAGGGGGCATGCGTTGCCGCGCCCTTCCAGCATAGCGTCTGCGCTGCATTCGCGCGGCGCCGTGCCTTTCAAATCGGAGTTAGCTTTTGGAGCGCCGATGTAGCTCTATTGCCCTATAGCACTATAGCCCTATAGCCCCATAGCCTTATAGCCCTGTAGCTTCATAGCCCTATAGCCCTATAGCCCTATACTTCTATATGCCTATCGCCCTAGAGCCCGATAGCCCAATATACTTATAGCCCTATGGTCCTATAGCCCTTTAGCCCTATAGCCTTTAAAAGATTGGGATTCGGGTGTTTCTCCGGCATCATTGTATTGTGCTTCGATGGGGATGGTAGCCCTGCGGACGGCAGGCAATATGCTGACACCCCCGCCGTCCCTGTAAAAAACAATACAACGTTCTCACGGGCAGCGCGAACATGACTCAAGACTTTGGCCCAAAGTGTATTTTGTATTGTTTTTTGACAGGGATGGTGTGGGGGGGGGGGGGGCGCATCGGGTTGGCCGTGGAGGTAGAGTGCGTTTTGTATGGTTTTCTGACAGGGATGGCGGGGGCGGGGCATGGAGTCCTCATGGTTCCTGGTTGGCTGCCGGTCGCCTGGGGGAGGAGGTGTGTATCAATGACAAAAGAGATTAACCCTTCCACGAAGGGGAAAAAAGGGGGCTGAGTAAGGAAATTCGCTAATCCACATCCGCCAAGACATTGGAGGTTTGGGCCCGTTTGGAGCATGGGCCAGAGCTGACCCGCCACCGCCGTCACGTCGGGCGTGGCTGCCGTCGCGATCCTGCGGTGCGCCGGTTCGCCAGAGGCCGTTGCAAGATGAGGCTTGCCAGCGAGGGTCGGTGACGTGCAGGAGGCGGAGGGATTGTTTGGTAGCAGATCATGGGAGCCTTGCGTGTCACCGTAAATCAGTATTGAGAGCGCTCTGGCGTCGGTTAGAGTCGACGAGCGTCGACTGACACTGATTAGCGTCGATCTAGCGTGGACATAGCGACGCTGTAGCGTCGACTAGCGTCGATGAGGGGCGTACCGAAGGGGGGATCTGCTAAACGTCCGCGGACGAGTGTGCACCGCATCGCGTTAGCGTCTCCCGAGGCGTCGTCGATCTTCGACCCAGGACTGCTACGGTGCATATAATCATGTTTGGTCCTGAGAGCCGAACAGCCATGCATCGCACCGCGTGGCATCCGAGCTTGACTTGAGGCCGATAAGGAAGTCGGTGCATCGACGTTTTTCTCCTAAACCAAGGCGGCTGCGTGCCTCTTGGAAGCACATCCCGGCCCTCCAAGCAGCCTTCTTAGAAACGGGGTTCGACCTAAACGTTGTTCTAGCGATATCGTGGACCGTTTTCATTTTCATTCCGTGTTGCAGCGAAGGCGGAACAAAAGACAACACGAGGGGAACACGAACACAAAACGACAACGGGAAACACCGCTTGGGTCGAGCCCTGCTCCAAGCAGCCTTCGCAGAAGCTTCGTGCCCCCTTCCGGGCGACAGGGCAAGACCGCTGTAGGAAACGCGGCGCGGTGCACGGCAGGCGCGTAGCGCGCGCGCGCTCAGAGCAGAACGAAGAGAGAGTCGGTGTCCGGCGCCTGGGCGCCACCTACACGGGACGCCCTTTGGTCTCCACGCCTCCCAGTTCGGGTCCGCGTAGATCGGGAGCGACCAAGAGGGGGGGGGTCACTGAGGGGGGGATTCATGGCAGGGGCCATGACACCTCCCCAGATTTCATGGCGCCTCCTCGTGTTTCAATGCGTCCCTCGCCCCCACCTGGGCCGTGCACATGCTGCCAGCCATGCTGTGCCCCCCCCCCCCCCGCCCACCCCCTGGGACGCCCCCCTCTTGGACGCCGCTGGTGGAGTCGGAGGATCGCCGTCTTCCTCTCGTTTTCTCCTTGCTTGCCGTTCGCCGTCTGCCCGCTGTTGCTCCTCCGTGTTTGCGTCCGTTACCTCCTGCTCACCGTTCGTTGTCTTGATGGGCTTGTTTTCCACCACCACCACCATAAGTTGGAGTGGGGGAGGAGGAGGAGGACAAGGAGGAGGAGGAGGAGGAGGAGGAGGAGGAGAAGGAGGCGGAAGAGGAGGAGGAGGAGGAGGAGGAGGAGGACCCCCTCCCCCTCCAAGTTATGGTGGTGGTGGTGGTGGAAGACAGGCCCAAGTTGTTTTTGCTCTTCACCCTGAGGCGTCTGCGCTCTCGGCGGCGGCTCGCGTGACGTTCTCGGTGTCTGTACGGCGGTCTTCAATCTCACGTCGCGGAGCAAGTCTTGTGCGTCTGTCCAATGTGTAAGGGTGCAAAAGAATTTGGTCTGAGTAGGTGGGGCCTCTGGTCATGATTTGCGACCCCCGCCGTCTTGGGATCTTTTGGGCGGCCGTCTTGGAGCCCTCTTGAACGCTGCGCTGTTCGAGTGATTAGTGCGCGCCGTCTGTGCAATACGCAAGTTGCCCCGTTCATCTTGGATGCCCTCCTCTTGGACTCTAGGCCTTCCAGATGGGGTCGGAGGATCGCGCCGCATCGCCAACGCATCGTCGATGCGGTGCGATGTGTAGCCCGATGTTGTCCACGTCGATGTCGCCGATTTGTCGCCGACGTCGCCGATGCATCGCAAATGCGGGGGGGATGCGGACCGATCTTCCGACCCCATGTGCCCGAAGCACATCTGGGAGGTCGCTGTATGTGCGCCTGTCTTGCCTTGTGCCTTATAGGAGCCCCCCCCTTGCCTTGTTCGGGGTCCGAGAAGAGAACCCGCCCCCCCCCCCGCAACAAAAACAACCGCAAAGAGGACCCCGCCTTCTTTCCCCCAGGCCTCCTTATCCAGTTTTTCCTCCTCTTCTCCCTGCACGTCCACGCCCACGCATGCTCCTCACCCTTGTCCTGCGCCGTGTTATCAAGCTCTTTCTCGCCTCTGCGCATGCTTGAAGTACCGATCAGATCTACCAGATCTGCGCTGAGACCGCCCTGTCAGATCTAAAAAAAAGAGGACCCGGCCTTCTCAGGTGTGTACTTACTGGGAACAGTTCCTTCGACTGGTGAGTTTCCAGATTTCCCACCTGGGGTTTCTAACATCGTGGCCCCGAGCTGGAACCACGTGTGTTCACATGTCCGGGCCACCCAGGTGGATTTCTAACATGGTGGTCTCGAGTTTCTGGTTGGCCTGTTGGGAGCGGCTTTGCAAGGCCGCGCGTGTCCGCGTGACCAGGTACTTCAAGGGTAGAGGAACACCCCAGTGTTCGCAACATGTCTCGAACATGATGGATGTTCGTCTTCCCCTGCCCTTCAATGTTGACCCAGGTGTTCCTTGGCATCGACGTAGATTTGTGTATGTATCTTTTCCCCCTCCTGGGCACTGCCGTGCGACAGCGCAGTCCAGATGTCATGACATTCCTCTGCCTCACCCTCCCGCTGCGCTTGCACAGAGACTCCAGAGTGGCTCCTCCACCTCCTCGTCCCTCTCCCCCGTTCCTCCTCGTCCGCATCCCTATCGTCCTTGTCCTCATCCTCCTCATCCGTCTCCTTCGCCGCCGCATCATGATGCTAGTTTCTCATTTCCCTCACCGCCGCCGTCACCGTCTCTGCCGTCACCATTCGACGCAGCTGTCGCCGCGGGCGCCGCAGCCGCCGCTCGCCGCTGCCGTCACCGTTCGATCGAACTTGCAGTGAATTCTCACGCGCGAGCGTCGCATGGAAGAGCCCCGCGCATCTGCTTTTGAAGCCTCCTGGGATGGAGCTCGGCGTCAAATAGCTGCCTCAGGACTGCTTCGCCGAGTCGCATCCCTCTCTTTCCTCCCCTCCTGTCCAGCCGTACCTACAGAACGAAGTTTATCTTCCCTTTCTTCCCCCCCACACGCCCGTCCTTTCCTTTCCCACAGATCTCCGTGGGGAAGGGTCGGGCAGGCTTGGCTCGGGACTCTGTTCGGATGGTTCCACTCCCCCTTCACGATAGCCTGTCCCATACTAACGTGGTGTGTCAACCGACCGGCGGATCGGGGGTCACTCGAGTCCTAAGCAAGGAGTTCTTGCCCAACCCCTCCCATGGCCTGTGATAGCGTTTGGTTCTTCCTTCGTTTTTCGCCGCTGGTCAAGATGCTTGGGCGTTGGAGCATATTTGAGGAGTGTGCAGATAGAGGAGCCGGGCTTTTTCTATGTGTTGCTTCCCCGGCTCTCCGCCTCTCTCCACCCCACGCTAAGCACGCTGTGCTCCTTCCTCCTCCCCCCTCCTGCTCTTCGTTGTTGTCCTCCTTCTTGTCTCGCTCCCGAAGTCGCTCTTGCCCAGGCGCCACCATTACGGAGGCCTAGAGGTTGACACCAACATCAAGATCGGCGATGTGCCTTCATCGAGGGAAGATGCTCCCGATCTCGGTGATGGTGGTAATGTTCGGGCTCTCTAAGTGGCCGAACTATTACCACCATCACCAAAATCTAGAATCGTCCTACCCCTGTGGAGGCAACCTCCTGTTTTGTTGGTGCCCATTTTCAGGCCTCCAACATTTCGATCACCCGACATCGCCCAGCCTCATTCTCATCTTGCCGTGCGCGCGCAGCCATGGTGTCGAATGCATCTTGGTTTCAGAGCGGCTCTCCTCTTGAGGTGGGACCTGCTGAGGCAAGGGCGCTCAGCATTGTTAGGATGCTCATTGCGCTCTCCACGTGCATCGTAGCAACATGTTGGTGGGCAGCCAGGTCCAGGGCTCGTTTCGATTCCTCCGATTCGATTCGATTCGACTTCGATGGTTTCCGATTCCGATTCGATTCGATGTCGGATTCCGATTTGGGATCCGAGTTCTTATTGGAGGCATACTAGCCTACCGATTTCTGCCGATTCGATTTTTCCCGACTCGGCTGCCGACATCCGTTGATCTGATTCATGTCGATCGCCGATTCCATTAGTCGATTCGATTATGGGCTCTCCTCCAGGTCTAACGTCCTGACATCAGTGAGTGCAGTTGCGAAGACCATTTGGGAGTTCGCATCACCGCCTGACCTTTTGACTCCGTTGGATCAGCGAGCTCAGCGAGATTTGGACGAACTACGGGCCACCCGCTTTCAGACCGCTGTCCATGTGATACTTCCTCCGTTTGCAGTCGTCAACGTCTGTTTTCTGATCGCTCGGATAAGCACAGGGAGACCCGTATTCGACTCTATGGGTAAGGTATGGTTCTTTTGTATTCAACAGCTCCTTGCGCGCTTTTGCGCACACTTCTCGCCCGTGCTCATTGCGTGGGTGTACAAAGCTACAATGCTCATTCTTGTAGTGCAGATGTTGGTGGAGGGCCACAACGGTATCCCAGGACGAGTGATGGCTGGAATTTTCCTCTTAGATTACAATGCATCTCTGAAGCATAACGTGTTTTTTTCGGTAATGCATTGTTTCGTGACCTGGAAACGCCAAGCACAAGGCGGATCACCGACCGAGGGGAGTCTCGAGCACGTTATGCTAGAGATCCACTCTTGCGTCTTCGTTTGTTCAATATTGCTGATTGTAGAGGCCGGTGATCGGGGCCGGATCAAGGCATCGTTGTTGTCCAAACAGTCGGGCAAAACACAACAGGCAGTGCAAAGGTTGTTGTCTGCGTTCTGTGATGCCCAAGTGCACATCGGCCCAGAGCTGCAGATCATCACCCACTCCCGCCCGCTGGTGCACTTCCTGGGCTGCGGGGCAGGGGACGCGGACACGCAGGATGTATTTCGAGGCGATTGCTTCCTCCGACACGTGACGGAGTCCGACCAGCAGCGTTTCCAGGAATTCCTTGCGGCGACGTCGGCTGTCCAGCCAGAGGGTGGCGACGCCCTCGTACGCGCTACAGGGGCTCCCGCCTCCATCCAGATGTCGCTGCGGAGCCGCCGCGGCGGCCACGTCCCCGTGGAGCTGTTCGTGGTCCCTCTCCCGGACCTCGACGACGCGCTGGGGTTCCTGATGGGCATCCTTCGGTAGCATGTCATGAGAGCCCTGTGCGTCCTCGTAGTCCCGTCTCTCCTGTGCACTCGCATCGAGTCGCGTCTGGGTGCTCGATGAGACAGCGCGGACTTGGCGTCGGCCAGCGTCGATGTAGCGTCGCTTCGGCGGCGACGAAGCGCCGACCCGCGTCGACCAGCGCCGATTCGCAAGAGTTAACAGGATGGCACGGGAGGCTCCCGTGAGTTGCCGCCGAAGCATCCGGGAGACCGGGGCGCTCCCGCTGGAGGCGCGCGTGGACGCGCCGGGGGCCGTGGCGCTGCTGCCGCGCGCGGCCATCCCCGGGGAGGCAGCCGGCTCGCCGCCCTCGCGCGCCGCGCCCGGGGGCCCCCCGCCCTGCGGCCCGGCGAACGATCGGACGGCGGCAACTGCACGCCGGCACTGACGCTTCGGCCCAGGCCCCCTTCGAAGGAGAAGAAGCACCATAGAAACATAAACTTTTGGCGCTCTGCGCGGAGTTCTCGGATCCGCGCTGGGCCCCCCCTGGCGGCGCCTTCGGCGCCGCCCCTGGCGCGCTCCGCGCGCCAGGGAAGGGGGTCCGGTGCAGATCCAAGAAATCCGCGCGGAGCGCCAGCAGTCTATGTTTATGGCGATTTGTCTTCTTCTTCTTCTTCTTCTACCCCTCGCGTCGTGAAACGAAAATCATCTCGGGAGTCTTGTTGCCCTTGTGTTCGGCTCACTGGTGCCCTCACCGGGCCTCGGGGCCGTCCACAAAATGAGATTCGGGATGGAAGGAAGGGTCCAGGGGAGTGGGTCGAGACCTTTGAGGGTCGACGTGATGACAGACACATGAACTCGCGGGTCTGGGGTTGCGGTCGACATGAGTACGGAAAGAATGGGTACGAAGACCGATAGTAGGTCCTGCTCATTTTGAACAGGACTCTCTGTCGGTGTCGCCGCGGACGTTGTCCATCCGAGACAGAAGACCGCCTGCCCAACAGCGGCCGCTGTTGGTTTTGACAACGCTTGCTGTTGGGCATCGTGCACATTTTTCCCGTACCCATTCCGGGCGTCCAAAATCTTGGGCCGTCTTGAGCCCACGATTTTTGCACAGGCCGTCATAGTTGGGCCAGGAGGGCATACACACCGATCCGATCCTGTGGCCCAGGACTTGAGTAGAATCGGTGCCGATGAATAGTTTTAAGTCGGGCATGTCCCTTCTACAGGGAAAATATTCAAAGCTTTTCACGCAAATAGTCTGCGGACGTTTTTTTTGATGATTTGTGCGACTTGGGCATTTTCTGATATTTCTCACTTTTCTCCAAACTCCGCATGTAGGAGGACATGCCCCATCTAAGAGTAGTTGCCGCCGTCCTGAGTCAGCCCAGCGGCACCGAAGCCGCTGCGCACACCCCGCCGGGGCCGGACGCCGAAGCACGCTCGTCGCGCAGGCCCTGCTCGTCTTCCTCGGGCTCGTCTGCCTCCCGGTCCTCGTGCTCTTCCGGGCGCCGCGCCGCGGCAGCCGCCGGGGTCCAGGCCGTGTCTTTGCGGGTTGACTCCGCGAGTCCGGGGCTGCGCGTCCGCGAGATCTCGGGGGAGCAAAGCGCGGCACGAGCACACGCACTCTCGGAGGCCCGCGCAGGTTTTTCTTGGGTCGAGGCTGGACCCCCCCCCTCCCTTCCCTGGCGCGGGGTCGTCCAGCGCCGATCCGAGAAATCCGCACGGCCTCCTGAAAGTTTCGGTGTATGCAGTTCTTGGTTCCTCTGACATCTGCTTCCACCTCGGCACGGGTCCCCGGGGGCCCACCCTGCGAGAGTGGGTGCCGCCAGAGCAGTTCCGGGATCTCGCGAGGCGCTGTCAGAACCTGATGCACGCAAGGGAGTACTACTGCGAGGTGGAAGAGGCGGATTGTAGCATGGGCGCTCTCAATCTCCTCTGCAACGGTGATGCGTTTCTGTCGGCTGCGAGCGCCGTGCTGGCAGCGGCCAGCCCTGAGCCAGAATCCGAGGAGGACGACGATTTTGATGTGCTGATCAGGATGCAGGGGCTGTCGAAGCTGTGGGCGCCCTGGGCAGGCTGCGTCCACGGGGCTCGCAGGAGCAGGCGGCTTGCGGTTTCCAGCCGGCTGCAGCCAATAGACGAGGTGGCGCCAGACGAGTTGGACCAGGATGCAGATGTTTTTCACGGCGCAGTTGGCCAGGCGACCAGCGAATAACTCCGTGCGGCGCTCGGTGCTTGAACCAGGTACCATGCAGCTGCGCCAGCCGACCGGTCCGAGGAGGAGATGCCGACCTCGACAGACGTGGGGGCATCTCGTGCTGTGCACTTATATGGAAGTTGTCGGCTCGCACACGCATCTCGCTGATTACATCCGTCGAGACGGCGGTGCAGCACGCGAGTGGGGCCTGGTTGTCAGACTTTGGAGAGTATGCTTAAGGCATTCGGTTGATCTTCACTTTTTCTCTGCTCACGCACCGTCTGGGGACGGGCTTTATCTCACTCTGACCTGGATCTTCAAAATGAGGCCCCAACTGCTCGTCAGGTACATCTAGATGTTTGTTGGATTTCGTCCGCTGCGGCTGGCCATTTCCTTTGGATGGATTGCGTGGCTGGGTTGAGCTGGGATGGCTGGTTTTCTGTCTGGCTCGCTGGCTGGCAGGTTGGCTGGATAATTGGTTGGCTGGCCGGCTGGCTGGTTGGCAGGCTTGTTAGTTGGTTGGAAGGCTGGCTGGTTTGTTCTTGTGTCTTCGGGTCGAAACGCGGATCCGCAGCTTTCTACTGGGATCGTGGCCTCTAGAGCGCGGCTCGGCTGTTTGTCACGAAGGGTCTTGCTCCCGCTGTTTCTTTCCGAGATTTACAAGCGGGTTTTCTAACGCAGTTTCGGGGTCGACACGTGTCACCGGTTGTTTTTATGAGTCCGAATGGCTTTTTGTTGGCTCCCAGAATCCTAAATTTCCAATTGGTTTTTCTCACACGGTCTCGGGGTTGACACGTGTCACCCGTCGCTTTTTGTGAGGCTGAATGGCCTCATGTCGGCTCCCTGAATTCCAAATTTACATTTGTTTTTTCTCAAACGGTTTCGGCGGTGACACGTGTCACCCGGTATTTTTGTGTGAAGTTGAATGTCTTTATACGGGCCCCCAGAATCCCAAGTTTAGAGCTGTTATTTCTTAAGCGGTTTCGGGGGTGTCACGTGTCACCCGTTGTTTCTTGTGAAGTTGAATGCCCTTATGTTGGTTCCCACAATCCAAAACTTCTAATTGGCTTTTCTCACGCGGTTTCGGGGGGGAGATGTGTCACCGGTTTTTCCCAACCATCCTGTGGTGTTGGGTCCTCGTTTTGAAGAGACGGTGCCCCGCGTTCCTCTCCTCCTCCTCCTCCTCCTCCTCCTCCTCCTCCTCCTCGCCCTCCTCCCTCTTAGGGTTCGCATGCCTCCCCACCACCCATCTCGGCACACCCCTCACACGTTTCGTGGCCCCATAGGGAGCTCCACCGAAGGCCCCAGTGGCTGCGTTCGCATGCCTCCCCACCAAACATTTCGGCACACCCCTCACACGTTTCGTGGCCCCATAGGGAGCTCCACCGAAGGCCCCAGTGGCAGGGTTCGCATGCCTCCCCACCACCCATCTCGTACAAATCACCCCCTAACACAGTTTCGTAGCTCCACCGAAGTTCCCAGTGGAAGGCCCGCATAGCCTCCCACACCACCCATATTCGGCACAAACCCCATCACACGTTTCGTGGCACCATGGGACTCCACCGAAGGCCCCAGTGGCAAGGTTCGCATGCCTCCCCGCCACCCATCTCGGCACACCCCTCACACGTTTCGTGGCCCCATAGGGAGCTCCACCGAAGGCCCCCGTGGCAGGGTTCGCATGCCTCCCCACCACCCATCTCGGCATACCCCATTCACACGTTTCGTGGCCCCATAGGGAGCTCCACCGAAGGCCCCAGTGGCAGGGTTCGCATGCCTCCCCACCACCCATCTCGGCACACCCCTCATACGTTTCGTGGCCCCTTAGGGAGCTCCACCGAAGCCCCTAGTGGCAGGATCGCATGACCTCCCCACCCCCCAATCTCGGCACACCCTCACACGTTTTCGTGGCCATAGCACCACCGAAGGCCCCATGGCAGGGTTCGCATGCCTCCCCACCACCCATTTCGGCACACCCCTCACACGCTTCGTGGCCCCATAGGGAGCTCCTCCGAAGGCCCCAGTGGCAGGGTTCGCATGCCTCCCCACCACCTATTTCGGCACACCCCTCACACGCTTCGTGGCCCCATAGGGAGCTCCACCGAAAGGCCCCAGTGGCAGGGTTCGCATGCCTCCCCACCACCCATTTCGGCACACCCCTCACACGTTTCACGTTTGGTGGCCCCATAGGGAGCTCCACCGAAGGCCCCAGTGGCAGGGTCCGCATGCCTCCCCACCACCCATCCAACTCGCACAAAAAACAAAAAGGAACACACCCCTTACACGTTTTCTTGGCCCCGTAGGAGCTCACCACCCGAAGGCCGCATTGCAGGTTCGCATGCCTCCCCACCACCCATCTCGGCACACCCCTCACACGTTTCGTGGCCCCATAAGGAGCTCCACCGAAGGCCCCAGTGGCAGGGTTCGCATGCATCCCCACCACCCATCTCGGCACACCCCTCACACGTTTCGTGGCCCCATAGGGAGCTCCACCGAAGGCCCCAGTGGCAGGGTTCGCATGCCTCCCCACAACCCATCTCGGCACAAAAACCCCTCACACGCTTCGTGGCCCCATGGGGAGCTCCGCGTTTCGTGGCCCCATAGGGAGCTCCACCGAAGGCCCCAGTGGCTGCGCCCCGGGCACACCCCTCACACGCTTCGTGGCCCCATAGGGAGCTCCACCGAAGGCCCCAGTGGCAGGGTTCGCATGCCTCCCCACCACCCATTTCGGCACTCCCCAACACCCATTTCGGCACACCCCTCACACGTTTCGTGGCCCCATAGGGATCTCCACCGAAGGTCGGGGGGAGCTTAACACTGGTATCCTTGCGGTACTCGCAGCTGCATATGGTTGGGTCCTTCGCCAGGCTAATTTTGTTGTGAGGCTGAATGGCCGTAGTTGGCACACAGAATCCCAATTTACAATTGTTGTTCTCACACGGTTTCCGGGTGGGCGCGTATCGCCAGTTGTTTTTGTAAGGGTAAATGCCCTGATGTTGGCTCCCACGCGCTTTCGCGGGTGACCCGTGCCACCCGTGTTTTTTGTGACGCGAAATGGTTTTGTGTTGGCTCCCAGAATCCGAAATTTACGCGTGTCTTTCACGTTTTTCGGGGGTGACACGTGTCACCCGTTGTTGCTGTGAGATTGGTTGGATGGCGTTTTGCTGGCTCCCAAACTCCCAAAGTTACAGCTCGTTTTTCTTCCGCGGTTTCGGGGGTGACACGCGACATCCGTTGTTTTTGTGAGGCTGAATGGCTTCATGTTGGCTCCCAGAATCCCAAGTTTACAATTATCACGCGGTTTCGGGGGTGGCATATGTCGCTCGTTGTTTTTGCGCGGCTGTATGGCCTGATGCTGGCTTCTCGAATCCCAATGTTTTGATTTTTTCTCACACGGTTTCGGGAGTGGCACGTGTCATTCGTTGTTTTGGTATGAAGTTGAATGGCCTCCTGTTAGCTCCCAGGATCCCAAATTTGCATCTTGTTTTTCTCAAACGGTTTCGGGGGTGACACATGTCACCCTCTGTTTTTTCGTGGGGCTCAGTGACCTTATGTTGGCCCCCAGAATCTAAAACCTACAATTTTTTATCACGCGGTTTTGGGGGGGACACGTGTCACCCGTTGCTTTTTGTGATGCTGAATGGCCTTATGTCGGTTGGCCCCCGGAGCCCCAAATTCGCAGGGCGTGGCCAGCGTGGCCTGACGCCAAGAATGGGTGCGCAGGATTCCGCTTCTGCACGCGGAGCGCCAGGGCGGTCGCGGGACGTCCCCTGCGGTCCAGTTTGCCCCGCTTTCGGTTTGATTTCTACTTGCGCACTACAGCCCTGGGAAACAACCATTTTTACAATCGTCCCCCGGGCTTGACACACGAGATGGCCGCTGGCTGCCACAAGTGCAGAAGTGTTGCCGACGACAGGCGATTGAGGCCCCGAGACAGCACCAGCCATGTCAAGCCAATGTCGAACAAAAGAAAATTTATCCGGATGAAGTAGGACAACAATGGAACATGGTACACCATAGAAAACTCGGAAAACATACAAACGCACAGAGCATGCAATCACAGCCGGTATGGAATTACATTTATCCAGTGCAATGACTATAATTCAGTTGTTTCGTCGTGCTTCTGATGGAGAAGGTGCGAGTGAAGACGCAGAATCGTCATCCCGAGGCGTTTTTTTCGGTGTATGCATACAGTGGCCTCAGTGTGCGACGGGGGGAAGTGATCCATAAGGATAAGGAAAGGAGGGGGAAGGAGGAGGAGGGATAAGGGATAAGGGAGGAGCGAGGAGCGAGGAGGAGGAGGACGAGGAGGAGGAGGAGGAGGAGGAGGAGGAGGCGGAGGAGAAGGCGGAGGAGGAGGAGGACGAACATCTGGCCTCGGGGTGCGGCAGGGAAAAGTTATTCATAAGGAGAAGGAAAGGAGGAGGAGGAGGAGGAGGAGGAGGAGGAGGAGGAGGAGAGAGAAGGAGGGAGGAGGAGGAGGGAGGAGAGGAGGAGGAGGAGGAGGAGGAGGAGGAGGAGAGAGGAGGGAGGAGGAGGAGGAGAGGAGGAGGAGGAGGAGGAGGAGGAGGAGGAGTAGGAGGAGGAGGAGGAGGAGGAGGAGGAGGAAGGGAGGAGGAGGAGGAGGAGAGGAGGAGGAGGAGGAGGGAGGAGGAGAGGAGGAGGAGGAGGAGGGAGGAGGGAGGAGGGGAGGGAGGAGAGGGAGGAGGAGAGGAGGAGCAGGAGGAGGAGGAGAGGAGGAGGAGGGAGGAGGAGGAGGAGGAGGAGGAGGAGAGGACGAAAAACTGGCCTCGGGGTGCGGCAGGGAGAAGTTATTCACAAGGAGAAGGAAGGAGGAGAAGGAGGAGGAGAGGAAGAGGAGGGGGAGGAGTGGGAGGGGGAGGGGGAGGGGGAGGGGGAAGGGGAGGGGGAAGGGGAGGAGGGAGGGAGGGAGGGAGGGAGGGAGGGAGGGAGCGAGGGAGAGGAGGAGGAAGACAAGGAGGAGGAGGAGGAGGAGGGGGAGGAGGAGGAAGAGGGATGAGGAAAGGGAGAGGAAAGGAGAGGGCGACGAGCGAGGCGCGCGCTGCGGCGGTGGGCAGGCGGCAGTCGTGTTGGTGGCGGCCGTCGCAGTGGCCCTTCGCTCGCCTTCCGTCCCCTCTCCTCTCCCCCCCCCCTCCGCCCCCTCCCCTCCCCCCCCCCGTCCCCCTCGCCCCCACCCCGCACCCTTCCCCGGGAAACCCTCCCTCGCCAGGCGCTGGCGCGTCGCCGTCGCTGGCGGGCTTCATGCAGGTGCGCGGGTGGTACGCTGCCGGGCGCTCGGCCCGAGGGCGGTCCCGGCCTGGCTGCGGGCCCACGGGGCCCACGGGGTCAGAACCTCCTCCCGCGCACAGGGGACGCGGACTCTCAGCGATGGCGATTTTCTGTGATCCTTTGGCGCGTCACGGCCGCTGCTCTGGCCACAACTGACTGCACCTCCCCACTGCAGTCAGCCCGCAGAGTAAGGATGGGCAGCCTTCCCAAGGGTACCCTTGCATCCTTGCCTCCTCGGTCCATCCTTGGCCACTTTCGTTGGCCGCGCCCTGGTCGCAAAGCTTCGAAATGGCGTCCAAGGCCTGGCATCCTTATCGCGCGGCCTTATGATACGGGTCGACTGTGCCCCCTCTCCCCAAAGGGGAAGGGGTAGTTATGGCCCGGGTAACGATCGTACGTGGGGGGGTGCACCCCCCGAACATGCTAGAGTGCGTTTTTGTACCATTCCTGGAAGAGTACGGGCGCTACCGAGCGGGAGGCAGTAACGTCACGTTTCGCGCAGGCGCCGTCTGGGAATGCCGAGGAATGACCGAAGACAATTCGAGTTGCAGATGCCTACAGGGATCTGCCACGGCAGATCGCACATATCCATAGGGATCTGCTGCGGCAGAGCGCCTCCCTTTTCCTTATCCTGCTCCTCCTCCTCCTTCCCATGCTCCTCGATCCTCCCTCATCCTTCCTCATCCTTCTTCCCTCCGTATTCGTCATCGTCTTCGAATCGTCGTCGGTTCGACCCTCTTGCGGCCAAGTGCTGCAGCCATGCGCAAGGGTATCCGGCAACTGGCCTCCGCATGGATTCCGATGGAGTGTGTGCTCCAGATTATTGGATTGCTTGAGAAACCTAGCTTGAGATTCTCGATCTCACCACTTACCAAACCACCCCAACCCGACCCGAAGGCCCCAACCTGCCCTCCATTCCCAGCGTGGGGGGGAGCAGGGAACATTGAGAAAACACATGTGTAACCCGTACCCCCCTCAACCCGAAACTCGGGTATTCGGGTTAGATTGGGGCTGTATGGTATGTAGTCACGCTCGTAGCCCGATCACTCAGAAAAAAGGGTGCGTTGCGCTGTTGGTAAGGTTGATTTGGAAGCGGCCCACGTGTATCTCATGGGCTTACTCTATTACGCACGCCCCCAGTGCGCCCCAGCTATGTGGTGCGCACGTTGTTGTGCAGCGAAGCACTTGGCAACGCAACGATGATGGAGGAGGACGGTGAGGCAAAAGAAAGCGAGGAGGACAACGACGACGACGATGACGACGACGAGGCCACTTCTCCCCAAGGGCGCCCCGACCCCTCCCAGAACACGAACCGATAACATACATGGAATCAAACAGGTCGTTTCGGCCTCGCCCCGCATTCCTCGCCCCCTCTTAGTGCAAAACTATGCTGGGAACGATGTTTCTAGTATGTTTGGCTATTTATGTAAATTTGATTATTTGTTAGCTTTCATCCAACATCCCCCTGTAGGAGGACATGCCCGACCTAATCCTGGTGCTCGCGCGCATAATATGGTGACCACAGCGCGCCCCCCGCCCCAGGGCCCCACCACACCTCCCTGGGTAACGACCGTGGAAGCAGTATTCATAGCAGAGAAAACAATATTTCAGGGCAGCGTCAGCGGGAGGGTTGGCGCTCAGGGGTGGATGCAACCCCCCATCGCCCATGCATCGCCGATATGGATCCGATAGCCCACGCCGCTCAGGAGCGCGCGGATCCATTATCGGGGTCTTATCGTCGATCTATCGGCGATGTACCGCCGATTGCCAGTCGATGATGCTTACCCCCTGAGCCAGTCGCCCCTTTGTCCCCGCCCCCCAATACGTAGGGGCTCGGAGTTCGAGGGCCGACGTTTGAACAGGTGATTCGCCGTCTGGGTCCTCTGGAGGCCCATTTCGGGCCCCAGGGCTGTCAGAAACCGATCCAGGATGACAGGTCGGCCTGGATGGACTCCCAGACGGCTTCGGGGATATATTCTGGGCCTTCCCTCTGTCGTCTAAGAAGAAATACTTGCATCCACATGGGTTTTCGGAGCCCCGTGCGGACCTCTTACAGTTTACGCCTCTGCTGGCTTTTGTTCTTTGCGCCTCTATCTCCGCTCCCTGCCCCGCCGCGCCACCCTGGGCCTAAAGTCGGGCATGCCCCTCTACAGGAGGAAAGGCTGAACCTAGTGGAAAAATAGCCTGGGGACGTTTTGCCTCTGCTTGTCTTGCCTCGTTCCGAATGTGTGGTTTTGCCCAGTTCCCATCTTTCTCCCAGGCTCCGCCTGTAGGAGGACCTGCCCGACCCAACCCTGGGGCCCGCCCCGCCCGACGTCGCCACCCGCGAGCCCGCCGCCGCCCCATGCCGGCGGACGCCGGCACGGGGCGGGGTATCGGTGGCGGCGGCGCGCGGGCCAGCGCCTGTGGGCGGCAGAGGCGGGGCCGCGCGCCCTCTGGCCCAGGCCGGGGGAGGGGCGCCGCCGCAGGGCGCCTCCTCGCAGAGGCGGGGCCGCGCGCCCCACGGCCCAGGCCGGGGGGGGCGCCTCCGCGGGGCGCCTCCTCGGCCTCCTGCGCGTCCAGGCCCCGAGGCCTGGGCGCCCGAAGTGGGGCTACGGGAAGGATGGGTGCAGTGCCCAGACAGCAGTTCTTTTTCATTTTGAACAGGACAAGCTGTCCACGCCGCCGCGGCCTGTGTCCATTCGAGACAGAAGGCCGCCTGCCCAACAGCGGCCGCTGTTGGTTTGGGGCAACATTTGTTGTTGGGCATTGTACCCATTCTTTCCGTACCCATTTCGGCAACCAAACAAGGCACCCTCCTTCGGTGGCAAGTCATGGGAGCATGGTGTGCCCTCTCAATGCCGTCTTCAGCGTTTATGCTGGCGTCGGCTTGCGTCTGGGAGTCGATGACATGGCGTCGGTTTAGCGTCGATCTAGCGTCGATCTAGCGTCGATTCAGCGTCGATCAGCATCAATTCGCAGGAGCCGACAAGATGGTATGGGAGGCTCCCATGAGCTGCCATCGAACCCTCCCGTCGTGAAGGCGCCACGGCGGAAAGCTCCTGTCCGTATCAGATGTTCAGCCATTCGGAGGGCTCTCTCGCGCGGCCCGAGGGGGCCGCCACGGAGCAGCTCCGCAGGAGCAGCCGGCTTCCAGAAGGGGTCGAGGTTTCCAGCGGTTCACGCTGCGAGGAAAGCACGACGCCGGATGTCTGGCGATGAGAGCGGGGGAGGATTGCAATCCTTCGGGCATGCGGGACGCGCAAGATGGGGAAATGTCCGGCGGAGAAGTGGGGCGATGCTCCTCTGGGTCCCCAAGGAGCCCCAGGCCAGCACCGCCGTGCCTTGCCTGTCGAGGGCGCGTCCGCGGAGAGCTTCCCTCTGAGCTCTGCGTGTGTCGGATGGCTGTCGTCGCCGCCTCGGATTGTCTTGGCTTCTGGCGCAGGCCAGGTTGGCGGGCATGCCGGTCTGGTCGGACGAACGACGGGATGGGCAGAGCGGGGCTCGGCCGCGCGCAGGGGGGGGTAGGGGATAGGGGGAGGGGGGTAGGCATCTTAGGAGCGCCCCTGCTTCTTAGACGGCGTGGGCCTTGTGTGCAAATGCAGGGCCAGCGCCTCCCAGGAAGTACCCTCCTTCTAGGACGCCTTCCCCTCTTCCCCCTCCCCCCTACCCCCCACTGCGCACCGCCGAGGGGTGCCTGGTCGATCCAGGCTCCGGGATGATGAGTGAGGAGGACGAGGGAGGAGGAGGAGGGAGGGAGGGAGGGAGGGGAGGGAGGCAAGCTAGGTGCGCTCGCGTCATATCTGACGTCCTACTCCTCCCTCCCATCCCTTACCATGGCGCTGATTTTCTCTATCCGCGGACGCGTGTCGTAGCGGACCTGTGGCTCCGCGCGCGCGTGCGTAGTGGGTGGTGGTGCGCGTGCGTGCGTGCGTGCGTGTGTGCGTGGTTGTGGTGCTGTGCTGGTGCTGGTGCTGGTGCTGGTGCTGGTGCTGTGCTGGTGCTGTGTGTGCTGGTGCTGTGGTGTGGTGCTGGTGCTGGTGGTGGTTGTGATGGTGGTGGTGGTGGTGGTGGTGGTGGTGGTGGTGGTGGTGGTGGTGGTGGTGGGTGCGGCGCGGTGGTGGCGGGCGGATGGGCGCGCGAGAAAGAGGCCCGCGCTGGGGCGAGAACGCCATCCTGAACGACGGAGGCCAAACACCGATCCGAAAATGAGGCCCACGCTGCAGCGGGAGCACGATTCGGAACGATTCGGGAGCAGAAATGGGGCCGGCGCCTCAGCGAGAGCATCATTGAAAAAAACGCAAGCGAAAACCCGTTTCCCGGGAATCCTGTGTGTAAAAAAACAATACGCGGGGGGCGTTCGGCCCGAAAATGACGCCGGCGCCTCAGCGAGAGTCGTTTCCCGGGATTTCCCGGGCACACTGTGTGTAAAAAACAGTACGCGGAGAATGCGTCAGGGGAAGAGGGAGAGTATTTTCATATTGAGTAATTGTGGAGGGAGGAGGAGGGAGGAGGAGGGAGGAGGGAGGAGGGAGGGAGGAGGGAGGGGAGGAGGGAGGAGGAGGAGGAGGGAGGAGGGAGGAGGGAGGAGGGAGAGGAGGGAGGAGGGAGGAGGAGGAGGAGGAGGAGGAGGAGGAGGAGGAGAGGAGGAGGGAGGAGGGAGGAGGAGGGAGGAGGAGGAGGAGGGGAGGAGTGGAGGAGGAGGAGGAGGAGGAGGAGGAGGAGGAGAGGGGAGGGAGGAGGAGGAGGAGGAGGAGGAGGAGGAGGAGGAGGAGGAGGAGGAGGAGGTGAGTAAAAAAGAAGCGGAGGAGCGAATATCTGGTGGAGGCAGACCGTCTGCCTCGGGCCCCGACGGTTGATGCCCGGCGTTGCCAGTACCTCGTGGACCTCTCTCGTCGAGACCAAACTGGCGTCGGTGTGAGTTCGACGCAGGCTTTCCGACGGAGTTTGTGTGTGTGTGTGTGCGTGTGTGTATGTGTGTGTGTGTATGTGTGTGTGTGTGTGTGTATGTGTGTGTGTGTGTTGCGTGTGACTTTCTTGGCGACTCAGGATGCTTCCACCCGCCTGTCAGCCTCTCTTCCACGAGCACTCTTTCATTGTCGGCGCAGGCCATCCGCTCATGTCAGTCGTAGCTTGGATGATCTACCACAGGGTGCGGCACTGACCTTTTTTGAGGCAGCAGCGACAGAGGCAGCTTCCACATGGCACCCAGAGAAAGTCATAGTTCCTGCATGGCCGCTGGGCGCATCTCTTAATATAAATTTGCATCTGCTGATGGTGTTTTGTTTCCTCTGGAGCTCTTCTGATGATCCCGTTGATCCTCTGCTCCTGTCTGCTTGTGCTCCAAGGTCGTGCACGTTGGCTTGGACCTTATTAGAGGCCAGACCTTCCTTGCTGATACTGTTTGTTGC